GTGCCCTGTACAGCCGGCCCAAAGCGGAGGGAGCAGAGTTCCAGGAAGCGCTCCCGGTGCGGCATGCCCTCGTCTTGTTCCAGGGCGTAGTACCATGTCTGTGCAGCGCCCTTCATGTGATAGGACGCGAGCCAGGTGCGCTGCGAAGCCATCATCTGCTGTCCTCGGAAGAATTGCTCACATTGGTTTAACCAATTGAGCGGGTCGACGGAGCCGTCATACGTGGGGAACTCGAGTTTGTAGAACTTGGGAGCAGCCTGGGCGCCGAAGATTGCGGACTGATCCGCTGCTGTGGGTGCCCCAGGGAGGGAGGCGTCAACCCCCCCGGAGAGGACCTACGGCACTGCTGATGACGGCGCGGGCGCGGCGGCTGCTTGGGTGACGGTAGTGGCGAAGACCGGAGGAGCGGCCGAGCCCATCGCCCATGATGGAATCGGGGACGGCGAGGCCGGCCAGCGAAGAAGATTGAGCGGCACCCCTGGGCCTGAGACCGGCATCCCGTAAGGGAAACTCGAGGGCGGAAGCAGCGGTTGGGAGCTCACAGCGGTAACCCCCGTGGACAGCGGTGGCATCGAGAACGGCGGTGGGGAGGGCTGCTGGACGAGTCCCGCCCACGCCGCCTGCATGGACGCGATGTTGCGGTTGATGTCGATGATCGCAGACGCCAAGGACTCGAGCGTGAGCGGCGCAGCAGACAGCGACGAGCCTTCCGAGACCTCGGAGGCCGTAGATTGGAGCGGCGCGGTGGAGGTAGATGGTGGTGGTGGGAAGGAGGAGGTCGGCTGAGATTGCGACATCGTTCCTGAGCAGTCTGATACCAGGCTGATAGGATTACGGATCCTACCGCGTAGATCACGGAGTCTGTAGGGGTGAGAGGGAGGTGGAGCAGGCTAGGAACCTCGCTGCCGGCGGCTGGACGCCGTGGTGGAGGATGGACGGCTGCGGCTGTAGCCCTAACCCTCGCGTAGCTACAGTAACGGCGGCACTGTTCGCACGTGAACAGTAGAGGCGGCTAGGGTTAGGAACTCCCGGCTCCCAGGGGAAGCCGGAAACAATAGATTGTTTCTGCTTAATTATCCAAATGTCTTACAAACCATATATATAGCTCTCACAAATAAGGGATATATCTAATAAATAGGCTAAATAATAGATAATATGGGCTGTTAGCCCCCTAATGCCGGCGCACAAGCTCAGCCACTAATGGGCCTCCGCCTGGTATATGTGACGCCGGTCATAACAAAAATGGATGTTATAATGTCCGTGACAGGATACATTTCCAAGCTGCAGGAGTATGAGCTTCATGCCTTGCAGCTAGTTATTATTAACCACCACATATAAAACCATAGTCACCTACAAAGTTTTCTCATCTTCTTTGATTCTGATATAGAAGAATTAAATATTTTTCAATGATCATGTCCCAGTGAAACAGCAATCCTCCAACCAGGTAAATCACTCCTGTGATAATCCAGACTCCAGTATTTAACAAACGCGCAGGCCCAGATGCACCGCAAAGGAGTCCACCTGCCCAAAGCAAACGAACGAAAAGCATGCATATCTCTCGTTCTTCCTTTTTATGATCCAACTTTAAGTATGCATCTAACCAAAGAGACCGACGAGCAGTTTGGTCGCTGGGGGCAAAGAGTGGCGCCTTTCTTGGCAAGACCAGACCGACCGGGCGAGCAAGCCATTCATTCACCTAGGGACGGATCGAGCGCAGGCAAGCAAGAACCCTAGCGCCGACGAGAACCCTAGCGCCGCGGAGAGAATGGGGCAAGGAAGACGAGGGCGACGTGTTACCAGCGAGAAGGCGGCGGAGAGCGCGGACGTTCGATGGGAAGCGGTCGCCGTCGCCTTGTGCCGCGCCGTTGCGTCCCCTCGCGATGCCCCGCGCCGCTGCCTCGTGCCGCACCGTCGTGAATCGCGAGTCGCGTGCCACGCCGTCGCCAGGATAGGTTCCGGACGTAGGAGGTTCCATCTCCGTTCCGGGCCAAAGAGGGGGGAAAAGGCCTGGATTGACCGGTTTGCATTCCGGGCCATATCTAACCGGATGGGCATTCTTGATCCGGCTTGGCTTCAAACCGGGCCTATTCGATCCGGGCGGATCAGGCCGCAATCTGAGCCGTTCTTGGCCAAAACGAACAAGCCCTAAGACAAATGCTAGTCAGAGAAAAAAGGGCAACATTTATTACCTGGAGACACCTCCATTGGAAGAGTTAGTTTCTATATAAATGGTTTCTTATTGACGTGTCTGCTATGGAAATCGTGTATAATTTCAACCACTAGGACTGGCGGTCCCAATGGCACGTTGATGGTAGTTTCTATCCCTCTCTAATTCCAAAAACAAAGTTTCTATCCCTCTCAATTATGCTAGCAACTCAAAAAAAATTATTGTAGAGAGAGTACGTGGAAAAAAGAAACCATTTCCTCACGAAGGAACCAAGTCCTCTCACGCAGATTAAGGCACAAAGAAATGAGAGAAAATGCTTTGGGGAGAAATGACCGGTTTCCATGGCCCTTCTTTGGATCCGGTGCGCAGGCTCTCCAGTCCGCCTCACTGCTCCCATCATCCCGCACTGCTCCCGTCCTCCCGCGTGCAGCCGCTCGATGCCTGCCTCCCCGTGCGGCCCTCGATGCCGGCCACCGTCGCCGCGTCCTCCTCCTCTGCGTCCACACTCTCTGTCTCCGGTGACCCGGCCTCCCCCACCGTCTACGGCATCACAGATCTCTTCTGCTGGCAGCGGCCCTAGTGAAGAAGGGCGGAAGGGCAAGTCACCCAATGCGGTGATCTGCAAGCCACGCTCCTCCTTTACGGCGCGCCAGCAAGACCTCCCTACGACCACGTTGTGCTCCTCCTCTACCACCACTGGCGTCGAGCTGCCGCTGGGGCAAACTCAGGGACCGCTGTGTGGTTTCTGCACAAAGGATCCAGAGACGAGAGAGAGGAACACGGTGAATGATTGGTCATTTTTTTATAAGGACACCAGATAAAATCTTGCATTGGAAAGGATAGTTTTATGATACGGTATCCTACGATGTAGAAACTGTTGGTAGTTTCTTGCAATGGGGGCTGCCCTAAATTAACTTATTAACACACTGGTTCACTACCGGCTAGCAGTAGTGTGTGTGTGTATATATATATATATATATATATATATATATATATATATATATATATATATATATATATATATATATATATATATAGAGAGAGAGAGAGAGAGAGAGAGAGAGAGAGAGAGAGAGAGAGAGAGAGAGAGAGAGAGAGGTATAGCATCTCTAATACAGGGACAGGTTACGGGGAGGCCGTCCAAGTCGCTTTTTCTGTGTGTACCCGGGCATAGGATCAACCGCCAATCAAAGCAGGAGAGAGAGAGAGAGCTGGCAAGAGAAGCGTGTGGCGTGCGTGGTGCGGCAGCGGAGTGACGGATGATATTGATAGATGTGGAGGAAGATCATCCATCTCTTCACGCGCACTTAGGCCTTGTTTAGTTCGCGGTTAGTAATCAGTATTTGGTATTGTAGTATTTTCGTTTGTATTTGACAATTATTGTCCAATTATGGTCTAACTAGGCTCAAAAGATTCGTCTCGTAATTTACAATCAAACTGTGTAATTAGATATTTTTTTATCTACATTTAATACTCCATGCATGTGTCTAAAGATTTGATGTGATAGAGAGAGAATGAAAAAACTTGAAATCTATACAAGGCCTTACTAGATCGCGAGTAGTAGTAGCCCATAAATCCTTCCTCGTACTACATGGATTATTAATTTTATCATTATATGTGTTATTGTGTCAACAGTGGAGAACAGATCTTTGGTTTTGGGCTTTATTTCGGGCCAGAGTTGGGACCGGAACTAATGTAGTCCTGAGTCCAACGACTAGCGCCACAGGAGGGGCCTTTGGTGGGTGACCTTTAGTCCCAGAATGCACCACCAACTGGGACTAAATGTCCACGATAGGCCCCGTTCGTTTGGCTGAATTTGGCTAAAAAAATAAGTCAAAACACTGTTCCGGCTGAATTGTTGTGAGAGAAAAACACTGTTCTGCCTGAAAAAAGAAGCCGAACAAACCGAATTTTAAGACAAGCGAACGGAGCCATAGGTCTCCAGCCTAAGCCATCCAGTACAATTATTGAAGCTCATGTCTTTTGCTCCGTTCTTGCTCTCGGCTGTTTGAGAAGATCTTCATTTCTCCATCCACTCTAGGTTGTGAAGTTAGCAGCTTCACTCTCTCATCTTTTATTGCTAATGTAGCTCATTTTGTGGTTCAGAAATAAATAGAGAAATTTGTGGTTTTTTAATTAGAATAATAATGATAGAGTTTATTTTTATTTATACATCATTTCTACGTAACCCTAAACATTTGTAATGTTTTCTAGACCTTTGTTGTTATCTTTACCGGTCAGCCTCCGGGCGCGGCTAAAGGCCCCTTTAGTCATGGTTCTCTGACCTAGTCTTGAATTCGCAGTCCGGGCCAGTTGAGAAATCGGGATTAAGGGGTTTCTCAACCGGGACTATAGGTCCTTTTCTGCATTAGTGGGTGCACCAGTTTCTTCCGCCTATCAGTGCTGGGAGCGTGTCCTTTATCTGGGGAACCCTAGTCACCTGCTAATAATCAAATCAATTATTTTCCTTCTTTTTGACCTGGATATGAAACAAATTAAAGTCACAACACTCAAGCTACTACCTTGGTCGGGCTAGTGGGCGGAGCTAGCAGTGACAACTGACAAGTGGCAGAAAGACACAATTTCTGAATTTAATTTGGTATGGCTCCTTTTTAATAGACAGATATAGTATTGCCATGGTATTAAGAAACTGCATAGAAGTTCTTCTATCTAATACAAACTACTGTCACTTGCATATTCTACGATAATTTGAAGATATTTGCCATTAATTTGTATAACGGCTCCACCAAAAACAAAGGGTCACAAGCCTAACAATGCTTCTTCAACTTTATTTACTATATACAGGATGTTCCTTCGCAGATGCGCACACTTATTAATTCCTACTGGTGTTCCTCCTTGCTAGCCTACTCCATGTGACAACCAGAAAGACGAATGCTTTGTCGTACACCAAATCAACAAGAAGGAAATAAGCAATTCTCCATGACTTCTTGAATAATAGAACACAGAACAGAACCAATAAGACCATCTCAAACCCTGACCCAAGTCCATAGTAAAAGAACGCTGAATCGGAATCTTTTTCACTTTCTTGCTGATTATTGCCATGCCCATGCTCTGGTGTGCCATTCCCTGAACAATTCCTCTGCAGAGGAGGACCGCAAAGACCGCTGTTTCCGTAGTACATAGAAGGATTTTCAGTGTAAAGGGTGTCAAGTTGACGACCAGATGGGATAGTTCCAGTAAGATTGTTATACGAAACATCCAGGTAACTTAGATATGTTAAATCTGAGAGGCTTGGTGGGATTTCACCAGAGAGGTTGTTCTTTGAGACGTCAAGTGATTCCAACGATTTCATAGATCCAATATTCTTTGGGATTTTTCCTCTTAAGTGATTCGATGACAAATTTATATTCGTCAGCAAACTAAGAGAGGCTATTTCATCTGGAATTCCTCCTGCTAAGTGGTTCAATGACAAATCAATTCCAGCCACATCAACTAGCCCATGTGCTCCATACTTGAGCACTTCATGCTTCGTCACCAGGGAAAATGTATCTTGAGACTCATCAAATGCCAAGGATGTGTCTGAATCATCATTAGGTCCAGGCCTATGTTTTATAGTCATTCCAATTAGGTTTGACAAAGTTTTTGGAATTGGCCCGGACATATTGTTGGCTGCTAAGTTCAGGTATTGCAGTCCTTTAAGATCTGTGATATTGACTGGAATCTCTCCATCGAACATGTTATGGCTTAGGAGTAAAATACGTAAGCTCACCAAATGTCCAATCCACCTTGGTAGTGGCCCATTAAACCTGTTCCAGGAAAGGTCTAGGAAAACCAGGGATGAGAGGCTTTGGAGCCATGCAGGGAACTTTCCACAGAAGCTGTTGTTACTTACGAGCAGGAAACTTAAGTTTGGCATATCAGAACAGTGAGGTAGTTCTCCCTTGAAAAGATTGTGTGATAAATCCAAGAATTTCATGTTTCGTGACCTACAAATAGATCCAGGAACTTGACCGCTAATGTAATTGAAGGATAGAATTAATCTTTCAAGATTTGGAGCTCCAAATTCCAGTGGCAAATTCCCGGAAAAGATGTTTCTGGTGACTTCCAATACCCTGAGGCTTCTCGGCAGTAATGGTATCTGCCCACTGAATTGATTGGAACTCAAATGGAGGTATTCCAAACTAGTACAATTCCGAATACCGAGTGGTATTGAACCACTAATACTGTTGTTAGTAAGGATAAGGCCATTTAAGCTGGTCATGCCGTCCATAGTGTTTGGAAGCATTCCTGTCATATTATTGCTTGGCAAACTCAAGGCATACAATTTGCTAGCAGAACACTTTGGTGACTTCTCTAGAAACTCTGTTATGTTACCAGATGATAGACTCCTGGCGAGGTATAGAGATTCCAGTTGGCAGAGATTTTTTAGGTCCACTGTCATTGTGGCTGCATTTCCATTGTAAGAAAAATCTAGGTGTTGGAGCGAAAACATTCTTCCTAGTGCATCAGGGAAGGAACCATACAGATATGTTTCATCTAGGGAGAGTGACTTAATGCTTGTAACATTCCAAAACCAGCATGATGAGATTGGATGGCCGAAGTAGTTCCGGCTGAGGACAAGCTCCTCAAGTTTGGTCAGGTTTAGGTTTGCGATCGACTGATTTGCACTTGGAAGTGAACAATTCATTAAAATGATGTGCTTCAGAGTTGGAATCATGTTGGCCACATCAGGAAAATCAGTTACTGTGCTGAGAGTTATGTTGCTCATGTCAACATACTCCAACATATGTAGGCGACTTAGCCATGAGACATCTGTTGAGTATGTACTATTATACATCCAACTGAGGTCAAGATGTCGCAATGATGTAAGGTTCCCGAGCTGATGAGGGATTCTACCGAAGAACGATGTAAAGGACAGGTCGAGGTATTCCAAGTTGGAAAGGTTGCTGAGCAGGGGAGGCACTCTACCCGAGAAAGGAATGTAGGAGAGGTCAAGATGTCTCAAGCTGTTCATAGAACACAAGAATTCCGGGAACACACTAGCGTTGGGCCCCTGAAGGAAATTTGTGCCAAGGTCGAGGTGCTCCAAATAACCCAAAGAAAGCAAGGACGAACTTATCTGCCCAACCAAAAGGAAGCTGTTGAGATCAAGCTCGACAACATGGCCTGTTTGGTTGTTACAGGTGACGCCGGTCCATCCGCAGCAATCCTGGTCTCGCCGCCACGAGGCGAGGAGGTTGCTGCTGTCGTTGGTGATGCCTTGCTTGAACGCCAGGAGGGCATCCTGCTCGCGTGGCACGCAGCCTGCGGTATCATTGGCACTGCTGGCTCGTTGAAGCTGCTGCGTTGCGGCCTGCGAGTAGAGGAAGAAGCGGAAGGATGCGACGATGAGGAGCATCAACTTGGCAGCCAGGTGAGGCATGGTGGTGTTGAGCAGAGATCGGCTATGTGCTTGAGAGTGGATCCTTGAATATGAAGTTGTGTCTGGATCTAGCCGGGTTGTTGCACCTTTAAAAGGCAGTGCATGCACAACGGCGCAGGAGGTCCTTGCTGTGAGTCTACCACGGCTACAATGCTAGAGAGCTGTTTGGTGAACGCATATTTGGCTAGTGAAGGGCGATTTCTTGCTACAACGAAGGTGTTTAATAAGTTTGTGATTTCCGAATTATTTTTCATCTGATTGGAAATGCTTCCTAACGCTTGCTGACGCTTTCTGATGCCTACCCAAAATAACTATTTTTATTGATTTTATTCGTTCAAGGCATTATGGTCATTTCGCACGGGCTGTACAGCAATGTAATTTGGTTCAGTGCTTCGCATCCTTTTTCTGAACCCATTGTCCCAATATTACAGATCTGAGTGCCATGATTGTGAAGGGCTGTACAGCAATAGCTGCTCACCATGTTGTTTGCTGCTGCAGTTCGCACCTTGCAAGACTGCAACATTGAGGGTAAGATGTAGTCTACCTTACATGTAGCAGCCACATAGTATTGTCAAAATGAAAAATTTTGAGATAAGACCTTTCATTGCATATGGTAGGTGATTATTTCATGCCACAAGTTATTGTCTAGTGCAGGTGGCCATCACCATGCTCAATATAAAATTCAGGTCATAGATTGCTCTATTTCTGTTCCTGGAACTACTGTGTTTTGCAGCAGTGTATGAAAGTAATTAGTATCTGTTGATCCGTCTATTTTTGCAATGATTAACAATCATATATCTGTTCCTGGTGCTTAATCATAGTTTTTTCTATTTCTAACTTTTTTTTTTGTTTGGGGGACACAGGTGATTTCTCGAATGACAGAGGGTGGTTTCTTATATTCTTATGTTTGTTTGGGGATGGAAACAGTGCTCAGTCACATTTGCAATGACAGACAGGGTGCTGAATCACATTCATGTTCCTGTCTGCTTTGTATACTGAACATAGCTAGTCTCACTGTTCCTGTAGTGACTTTAGTTCGGCTTAGATAAATCAATCTCTGCTTGTCCTGACTGAATCCATCCTAATGCGTCTGCTCGAATCCAATGGGGAATTGGCTATTGTCATGGCTCATTCTCGCGTTGCTCACGTCCTCGCTTTGTCGACACTCTCCACGGTAGATCTATGCGACCCGGATATATCGACGCTGATTGCAAAGAAGCTACGTGAGTTTCACGATCTTGACATGCCTGGACGCAGGAACGTGTCATTATGGCAGAGGCTCAGGTATGCTTTTCCTCATTGTTGCTTTTCTGATTTTGGTGAGAAATGTGTTTGAGTTCTGATTCAGTTCTGATTGCTTGGTGTTGTATGCATCAGGCGGTGCCTTTAGGAGGCAGTGCTGGAGAAGACGCTCTCAGGAGTCGAACAATCAGTAGGATTTTGCCATAATGATCTTGATATTTAAGTTACGTTTGCTGCTTGATTTTATTGCTCTGCACTATTCCAGACATTGAGGAACAGAGAAGAACAGGGAATCTTTTTGCAGCTTTCACGTTAAGATTCCCCAGAATTATGAGACCAAATGTTTTAATTTATGCATCTTACAAGGTACATATGACTGTTGATTTGCAACAGTTTACATCAAGAACAGTGTCAGACGTGTCGATGCTGTTCTGCCTGATCCTCGTATGGACGCTGATAGGCACGTCAGTTCACCACGACGTCCGCCTGGACGGAGTGGAGCGCCATGACTGGCAGATGACGCCTGCGTATGGCGCCAGTGACGAGCAGGGCCGTGACATGGAGCCGTCCCGGTTGACATCTATGGAAGCGGCGGGACCCGCATGAAGGAGAAGAAGGACCCGACGGTCCTGGAAGTCTTCTTCATGAAAACCGTACAGTGCACGGATATTTATCTAGTATTTTATCAAAAAAGGGTTGCAAGTTGGAATAGACATGTCATGCATGTGTGTGGAACCGATCGAGTGCACCCTTCTTCACCCCGGTCAACTCGTAAACGTCAAGACGATGCTTTTCTCGCACTATAGAAAGTAGCAGAAACATGACTGGGCACAAGAATCGTACGTCGGTTTCCTTCCTGGTCATCTAGCTAGCTAGCAGTCCAGGTCCAGCCGTGTTTGGCCAGTTTGTATTGGCCGCAGCTACATATCCAATGGGCCACTGGACATGGATGGATCCAAGGACCACCGTCTCGCATCTCGGCATCTGGATGGCAAATTGGCAAGTGGGGGTGCCGGGACAAAAGCAACCCCGCCCACCAAAGAACTTGACAACACTTTACCGAAAAAAGGAAACACCTTCGTTCCTTCGCTTGATGATAATAAACCAAAGAAAGAGCAAAGATTCTTTGGAAACCGCAGCAACGACGACTAAGGGCATCTTTGGCACGGCTTATACCAGCTTCGGCTTTATCTATTTTGCGTAAATCGAGACACTGTAGCATGAAGCCGTTTTGTAAGCCGGGGTTAAAATGAACTAGAAGCAAAAAAAAGTCAGTTTTTCTGGCTTCACCGGCTTTGGCTTCATCGGTGAAACTGTTTTGGATGAGTCGTGCTAAAGGGGGCTTAAGTAGCAGGTTTATTTCGCACGTAGCAATATGTGGTAAAAAGACGGCGGCTGGAAGTTCGTTCTGGTGCTCACACTGTCACTGCCATCGATCTCATCTTCGCGCGCATGTAAAGCAACCCCACCCACCAACGAACTTGACAACACTTTACCCGAAAAAAGGAAACAACTTCGTTCCTTTTCGCTTGATGATAATAAACCACGGACATTTATCTAGTATTTTATCAAAAAAGGGTTGCAAGTTGGAATAGACATGTCATGCGTGTGTGTGGAACCGATCGAGTGCACCCTTTTTCACCCCGCTCAACTCGTCAACGTCAAGACGATGCTTTTCTCGCACTATAGAAAGTAGTAGAAACATGACTGGTACAGGAGTCATCGTCGGTTTCCTTCCTGGTCATCTATCTTGCAAGCAATCCAGGTCCTGCCGTGTCTAAGGTCTCAAGGACCACCGTCTCGCATCTCGGCATCTAGCCTCTAGAATCGAATCAACTAGACGGCAAATACAAACCCACTAACGAACTTGACGACACTTTACCGAAAAACCGAAACAGCATGTTCGGTTGGCTGGTTCGTTTCGTTGCTGGTTTGTGAAGAAGTACTGTTGGTTGGTTTATGTGAGAGAAAAATACTATTCCAGCTAAAAATTTACGATCGTTTACGACAAGCCACAGCCAAACGAACAAGCTGTTCATTCCTTCCCTTAATAATAAACCAAAAAAAGACCAAAGATTCTTTGGAAACAGCAGCAATGGATTTAGAGAGTAAAGTTTAATCCATGTCATATCAGTCATTTGATGCTAACTGGGAGAACTAAATATGAGCTAATTATAAAATTAATCGTACAAGAGTACATTAATTAGCCAGATGAATCTATTAAGCCTAATTAATCTATGATTAGCATATGTTTAATGTACCACCACACTGTCAAATTATTATGGACTAATTAGGTTTAATAGATTCATCTCGCAAATTAGTATCAAACTATGTAATTAGTTTTGTAATTAATCTATATTTAATACTTCAAATTAGTATCAAAGATTTGATGTGATAGGACTAAACTTTTATCCAAAGGAAAGAGCAAAATTCATCGTCGGTCCCTGAACTTGGCCGGCGGTGTCATCCAGGTCCCTCAACTTCTAAAGTGATATCTGTGGGTTCCTAAACTTGGCAGACGATGTCATCTAGGTCTCTAAACTTTTAAGGTGATCACCTCAGGTCCCTAAACTTGGCTGGCGGTGTCATCCTAGTCCCTGAACTTTAAAGGTGATCACCGTAGGTCCCTAAACTTGACAAGCGATGTCATCCCTCTCCAAATATAATAATATTAAAAGTTACATATAGTATTAAAAGTTACTTCTAATTTTAGTATTATTTTAAAAGTTCTAATAGTAATATTATAGAAGTAACTTGTCTCTGTAATTAATATTGTAACATTATTATTAAAACTTTTAATACTATAATACTATTATTAAAAGTTCTAATACTATAATACTACTATTAAAAGTAATAGTATTATAGTATTAATAACATATAAAAGTTACTTTTATAATATATTGTTAAAACTTTTAAAATAATACTAAAATTAAAAGTAACTTTTAATAGAGAAAACTTTTAATACTATAGGAATTTTAATATTATTTTAATACTATTAATGATACATAAATACTAAATTAATTTTAGTATTTTTCTATTTTAGTTTAAACCTAATATATTTGTTGTTGTAAATTATTTTAATACTTTAATTTATTTTTGGCTGATGTAAATTATTTTATATAATTTATAATTTCATGATAAATATTATATAAATAATGATTGATTAATTGACATATGTTGCATCCACGTCTAATGTACAGTTAGCATGCCACGCCAGCTCATAGAGTAGGTTAGACCATATTTAGACATTTATCAAAAAAAGGGTTGCAAGTTGGAATAGACATGTCAATGTCATGCATGTGTGTGGAACCGATCGAGTGCACCCTTCTTCACCCCGGTCAACTCGTCAACGTCAAGACGATGCTCGCACCAGAAACATGACTGGGTACAGGAGTCGTACGTCGGTTTCCTTCCTGATCATCTAGCTAGCTAGCAGTCCAGGTCCAGCCGTGTTTGGCCAGTTTGTATTGGCCGCAGCTACATATCCCACGGGCCACTGGACATGGATGGATCCAAGGACCACCGTCTCGCATCTCGGCATCTGGACGGCAAATTGGCAAGTGGGGGGGCCGGGACAAAAGCAACCCCACCCACCAAAGAACTTGACAACACTTTACCGAAAAAAGGAAACACCTTCGTTCCTTCGCTTGATGATAATAAACCAAAGAAAGAGCAAAGATTCTTTGGAAACCGCAGCAACGACGACTAAGGGCTGGTTTAGTTCTCAATAAGTTTCCTAAGAAGTGTTGCAGTAGCCA